GCTGTCGATTTATACGAATTCCACTTTGGTTTTAATTACCTCGCTTTCCCGTTCCCGATCGAAGGGATACCCGCAGTCGATTGCAATTAATTCGCGCGAATGTACAACTTCGTCGCGATTTATTCCTCGCCGTGACTCCCCTCATTTCCGTCGATTTAATTGGCCTCAACCTCCTCCGTTCTTTTCCCCTCAACATCCGCGACATCGATATATCTTCGATTGATAAACGGAATTTTTTACGAACTTCTTTACTTCCCTTCGAACGAGCCAAAATTGTAAGAGGACGTGATCGCGAAGTTTTCCTCGACTCAAAAACGTCAGGATTGCTTCGTGCGATCGTCGTTATTTTCCCGCAGTTTGTTTAGAGATAAGTAAGACGGGTTTGGGAACGGTTTAGGCACAACTTTTCTAAACGAATGCAAGTCGAAGCTATGTCTCCGTATTTCGACCCCTCGGCGGGAAATAAACGTCGGGCAGGTAATCCTGAGGGATCCTCGATGACTGGTACCGAATACGCGGAGTCCCCGCGTATCCCGAGCCACGGCCTCTTAGAAAGACCAATAATTAAGGTAATGGCTACTTTTCAAGTGGATTTCCGTGTGGCTCGAACTGAGCGGCCTCCTCCCGGTCGACCGATTACGGTCACGAAGGTCCCCGCCATTTTGCCTCCCTCTCGCTTTCTCAGACCCCTTTCCCTCCGTTCTTTATCTTCTTTGTACCCGAGACGGGAATCGCTTCCTCTCGTCTAACTCTTCTCTGTCCACCTCCCCCGATAATTGTGTATACTCATCGCTGATTTTCGATCGATGAATATCGCCGTAATTTCATCCGCCCTTCTGTCGCGCCGACGATTTTAAATCACGATTAAATTATATTCGACATGGATGAGATAATCTAAGGGAGATTATTTTAAGGTGGATAAACATTTGTAGAAAGTTGAAATATCAATTTATGTTTTATGTCATTTTGTTTGTAGCTTCTTAAATAAAGAATTAAAAAAGATAACAAAAATATGTAAAAAAAAAAAATGTTAATTCTCTTTAAATGCAGTTTAAATATTTAGCGAAAGGAAGCTACGTGTTGCTTTACTGAATTATTAATACAATCGATACGGATTTCGACGGTATTTTGCGACGCGGTATTTTAGGAATTTAGATAAATGGCCGAGAGAGCGGATTACAGGCAGATTATAAATTGTTTTTGAGTGCTCGTAGAGTGAGTATAAGTTCGTTTTCAGAATAATTGCTACTTGCGTATCATGGAGATAAAATTCTCCGGTTTGAACAAGAAGGCGAGAGAGAGAGAGAGAGAGAGAGAGAGACGAAATTTGATAATGGAAGTTAGCGTTCTGGCCGGCATTATTGCAAGCTCGCCATTCGCGAAATCGGTGTTTACGCGAATTTTTTACCGCAAAGTCGATTTATCGAACCGGATAGCCGATGGAGCCAGTGAGCCGTCTTAACGGAACTGTATATCCCATCTCTAGGCTCCGCGGTGCTTATCTCTGCTCCAGATACTCGCAAGAAGACATTTATGCCCGACACTATCTCAATGACTTTGCTTTCTCGATTTTTATATCGCCCTCGTTTACACGCATACGTATCTGTATTATCGTCCGATGGGCGCGAAGTAAAAACCCGACATTAAATCAGTCAAGACGTTCAAAATAAGAGCGCTCTCATTGGCAACTCAGAGTTTTTTACTTTCCTTTTTTACTTTCCGCTCGCTAAACTAATATATTTGATACCAGAAAATTAAAAAAATGGGAAGATTCTTGAAGAAGAGATTTATTAAAGTTTTGCTTTTTAATTTTGTTATACATAGCGAAAAGAACTATGCTTCTGTGAAAAAAATCAAATCAAATTTAACAATATAACTTGAAATGCATATATGCATATGCATTTTGGTATTTTGGTATTTTTGAGTTT